TTTTTTTTTATTTTAAAAATCCCATTTTTGGTGCCCGCCAAATTTTTAGAGTATACTTTGCGCGACAAATATTTATATATTGGTCGCGCAAAGTCGAAAATTTGTTTTAAACAAAAATTCCCATTTTTGGTACACGCCCAAATTTTTAGAATATATACTTTGCACGACGAATAATTATATATTGGTCGCGCAAAGTCGAATTTTTTTTTTATATTTTAAAAATCCCATTTTTGGTGCCCGCCAAATTTTTAGAGTATACTTTGCACGACGAATATTTATATAATGGTCGCGCAAAGTCGAAATTTTTTTTACAAAAAAATTCCCATTTTTGGTACACGCCCAAATTTTGAGAGTATACTTTGCGCGACGAAATACCAATTGGTCGCGCAAAGTCTTAAAAAATATTTAAAGCTAGTAATAAATACATATACTATTCAATTTCTTAAGTGTTATAAGGACAAAATAAATAAATTTAAAGCTACTCAACGATCCAACCGTCAAACTTGTTTGTTTATACTTCGAGATCATATACACCAAAATTCAGAACAAGTAAACATTAAGAGATCAATTAATGGGACAAAACATTTCGACGGTTATAAACGAAAAATCATGATTTAACGGTTATTTCAACCCTGATTTTGATGATTTTTTACAGCTACACTCCTTGACCCTATATGAATACAATGACTCAATTTGATCTTCAATTCACTAGTGGATACCACAAAATCTTATGTTATATTTAATAAAAGTATAAATAAACTCTTGATTGTTAGTGAATATATTGTTTTGATGGCATATGCATTCTACGAAACTAGTTTCAACGATCCAACTCTCAAATTTGTTTGTTTACACTTCGAGATCATATACGCCAAAAATCGAAAAAAATAAACATTCAGAGATTAAGTAATAGGACAAAACATTTTGATGGTTATAAACGAAAAATCACGATTTAACGGTTATTTCAACTCTTATTTTGATGATTTTTTACAGCTACACTCCTTGACCCTATATGAATACAATGATTGCATTCGATCGTCAATTTAAAATATTTACACTAGTAGATACCACAAAATCGTATGTTATATTTAATAAAAGTATAAATAAACTCTTATTTATTAGTGAATATATTGTTTTCATGGCATACGCATTCTACGAAACTAGTTTCAACGATCCAACCATCAAACTTGTTTGTTTACACATCGAGATCATATATGCCAAAAATCGGAAAAAAACGGTTATTTCAACTTTGATTTTGATGATTTTTTACAGCTACACTCCTTGACCCTATATGAATACAATGACTGCATTCAATCGTCAATTTTAAATATTTACACTAGTGGATACCACAAAATCTTATGTTGTATTTAATGAAATTATAAATAAACTCTTAATTGTTAGTGAATATATTGTTTTAATAGCATATGTATTCTAAGAAACCAATTTCAACGATCCAACCATCAAACTTGTTTGTTTATACTTCGAGATCGTATACCCCAAAAATCGGAAAAAATAAACATTCAGAGATCAAGTAATAAGACAAAACTTTTCGACGGTTATAAACGAAAAATCACGATTCAACGGTTATTTCAACTCTGATTTTCATGATTTTTTACAACTACACTCCTTGACCCTATATGAATACAATGAACCACTTCGATCGTCAATTTAAAATATTTACACTAGTAGATACCACAAAATCGTATGTTATATTTAATAAAAGTATAAATAAACTCTTATTTGTTAGTGAATAAATTGTTTTCATGGCATACGCATTCTACGAAACTAGTTTCAACGATCCAACCATCAAACTTGTTTGTTTACACAAAATTTTAGTAAAGATTTTGCGAGACGAAGATTATTATTTCGTCGCGCAAAGGCATCCAAAAATTTTTAAAAATAATTTTTTATTTATTTATTTTTGTAAATACTTTGCGAGACGAATCACTATTCGTCGCGCAAAACTCTGTGCACCGAATTCTATTATTCGTCGCGCAAAGTTACTTTTCGCGACGATTCTTAGTCGTCGCGCAAAGTTTTGTCGTGCAAAGTCACTTTGTGCGACGATTTGTTTTTCGTTGCGCAAAATTGAGTCGCGTAATACTTTGCACGACGATGATTTGTATTTGTCGCGCAAAGTGACTTTGCGTGACGAATTTTGTTTCGTCGCGCAAAGTTTGGTCGCACAAGGGGTTTTTTTTAGTAGTGCACCACAGTCACATCTTCAACTTGTTTTGCTTGGAGGCAAGTAGGTAACTTGTTGCAAGCTACGAACGGGTTAGGAAGCTTGGTATACAAGTTACATGCAGAGTTATCTCGATGCACCGCGTAAGGCCTTCTGTGGATGATGCTCGAGGAATTGTGAAACTGAAGGAAGAGGAGTTGAGCTTCGTCGTGGTGGTTATTGGATTGGTAGCGAGTGTGGTCGCAAGTGTGGTAGCGAAAGAAGGTGTTGACGAGAGAGTTCCATGATTTGCACACTGCGCTGCATCTCCCTACGCTTTTGCTGGGCAACCTCAGGAGGATTTCATCAAAGATCTCTTCGGGAAGGAGGAGGGGGTTTGACATTGTTCTTTTCTTGCTAACCGAGTAGACATCTGACATTGCTCCGATAGATTTTGTGATAATATTTAAGGATTCCTGACGATTTCGGGAGAACCAGAACCCTTAACGATTCCTGAAGATTTCTCCAGAAACCCTATTTCTGTAGAAAGATAGAGGAGAGAATTGGAGAAGATGAGGAATTTGGAGAATAACAACCCTATAGGTTGCTTCTGCACTGCATTGATGGTTTGTAATTACGCAATTTTACTTTGTATAAGTAGTAAGTAAATATTCCTTTTCCTATACTATCAAGGATTAAATATTCCTTTTCCTATACTATCAAGGATCTGATTGTAGTCCTATTACAGTAAAGATTGCTTATGTCGAGGGCAATAAAAGACTTAAAAGAAAAATAATGAAAAATAAAATAAAAGAAGAGGTTTAAATACTAATTAATCGAGCCTATGAATAAGGTTCACATTCATTTCAATTTATTTACTTACCAAATAAATAAATAAATAAAAAGTTTACATTTCACTATATTAGTTTTTTAGTTTTGGATCGAAATAGAGGAATAAGAGCGTAGAGGGCCGCAAAAGCTACGAGCCAAAAAAACTCACGGCAGCAGAAGAAAGATACACCCTTTCATGTACTTGGGTGAAAAGAGATGAGTACAAAATTTAACTGAGAATTGCTTGTTGAGACATTAATTTACTGCATGCGTACTGCTATCAACATACTTTTGCATATAAGCGTTGTCATCGCATGTAAAAAAAAAAAAGGGTGGCTTATAAATTGTGAATATGCACATGCTTCAAACATACTTTTGGTTAACTTTTCTTTGATAACATTTTTCTGTATAGGAATATTTGAAATTCTTCTACATGAGTCATTGAGAAAATCAGCAAAAGAGGCCCTATAGGTTTGGCAATAACTAAACTACAAGGGGAGGAATATTTTTTGGAGAGGGATAATATTGAGTTGACAACAAAAACCCACTTCACCAACCACTACTACCACCGCCGCCGTTGCTGCGCTCTCAGCCATATTGAGACTCTATTTATTTTGGGCTCAGAACCCCATTCCCAAAGCTCATTATCTGAACCTTCTTCTTTTTGGGTCAGAAGTCCAGCCTGAAGTGCCATTATCATCATTAGCAGCAGCAGCATCATATGCATCACAACTTGCTCCGTCATGGCCACCGTGACGGCCACCATATGGTCTAGGTAAGCCACTTGGATGTCCATCTCGACTGCCACCATTTCGGCCTGTAAAACCAAACATAAAAAAGAAAGAGAAAGTCATGAAGAAAGTCTTTTTGATCAAGGAAGTAAGGAATTCTATATGGTGCACTACACTACATTAAAGAAAGAAATACAAATAATTTATTTTAACCAGTAAAAGAGGAAATATAACAGTTATCAAATGAAAACAAAACCTCAGCTAAACAAAGACGAATATGAAACTTCAGTAAGGGGTAATCCATATTCCAAGAGCAGGGCCAATGACCTCTTCAATGGGATATGGTATATGCAGAAAATGAGCAACTATTTGTTAACCAATAAGAGACTAAACTGCTCTAATTTTTATTTTGTGCTGCCATTCTACTCTAAAAATGCTTAAGCCTAAACAGGCTGGAAGACGTTGCAAACTAAATAAGATACCTCCTTTAATTTGCACTCAATTGAATTGCAAGAAAACAAACAGTTGAAAACCCATGCTGCAGTTTACCTGTTTGTGAACTCGGTGTGGATAATAGATCCCTGTCAAAAGACTGGCCTCTCCAACCACCCTCATTGGTTGAACCACCCCAACCACTGCCCAGAGATGCCCCTGAAGAACCCCCAGTTGCTGGCTTCGCATTGGCACCATAGCAGCAACTGTTCTAATGGATGGTCCTGACTCAAGCCGAGGGTCATCAATATGGCGCTGGAAATATGCTACAAGCCGATAGATGTCCTCAAACATTCTTTTTCTGAACTTGAACCCCTTGGGATAAACACCAACATACTCATGGTGCGGATTTGCACTCCGGATATAGGTCAAGATGATAGTGCCTGGATGTTCATGCGATATCCCGAAACAATAAGCTATCCTCATAGGATACTCCAATTTCTCAAGCCACAAAAGTTCATCAACTTCTGCTTTTGTTCCCCTCCTGAACTTGCGATAGTTTAGCATTGCCTTCAAGTGAGCCACCAACGGATCAACGTAACGATCCATCACCTGCATTGAAGTTAGTTTACCATCAGATTTCTATCCCTCGATATCAAGAGCACAAATGCATATTATTAGCATCTAAGTACAAGCATCTGATATGAAACATAAAACCTTTAGAACTAAATATGTGCATTCTTATTCAGACTGCATATTATCAGCATCTAAGTACAACACAAGCATCTGATACCATTTGTTTTTGCCATGGATATTGTAACGATCCACAATTCAGGCAAAATGAAATTCTATATAGGCCAATTTCATTGGTTAAAAGTCAGTCAACAGAATCAAGATTTACAACTGATTATCCTTCATTAGTTGTAAATTGACAGAAAAGTAAGACGACTAATGCAGTACAACTCTCTGAGAACACACATTGTGTTAAAAATGCTAACCTCATCCAAATCCTCAAAAGTGTCCTCCCCAATCGTCAGGGTCTTCCCAATACGGAGTAGGCTTGTAACGTCCTTAGGCTCCTTTCCACCTTCAACTATGTCTTTGTGAGCGTAAACTCCATCATAAACCTTGAGAGTTAAGGTTAAATGCGAAGGCCCTCGAGAACTAGGACGAAAAATACTTTCCCCAGCATCCTTACCAGACAATAACTGTTAAACATAACCGATGACACACTATTGAGTAAGAAAAGTATTTCCGGACTACTATTAAGTATTGAATTACAAAACAAAGACCAAGACATAAAAATCTTAATATAACAACATTATTTAAAGCATACCTCCATTGCTTCATCTGCATATATATTCTGGAAGCGAGGATGAACAATCATCCTTGGCTTGAAATTCTTCTTCGCAAGCTGCTTTCCCTTTTGAGATTTTTCTTGCTCACTCTGTAGACTTCTCCAGTCTTTATGCTCGTGTGGCTTCGAAACGCACTTAAAATCGGCCAGTGTTCCAAAAATGGGCCTACGCGCCCGCCTAGGAGTCCAAACGCACTAAAAATGGGCGTAAAAATTAGTTTCTTTAGTTTAATATTTGTAATTAACAAATATCTTAGCATTATTTAATCACTTTAATTAGTAATTATGTTTTAAGTATTATTTATTTAGTGAAGAATTAGTATTTTAATTAATTTCATAAATTAGTTGATAAATAGTAATTAATAAATTTAAATTAATTTGTGGACTTTTTAAAAAAAAATTATACAAAATTAGTTTGTTTAGTTTGATATTTGTAATTAAGTTGTATCTTAGCCTCATTTAATTACATTAATTAGTGATTATGTTTTAATTATTATTTTATTTACTAATAACTAGCCCCGTGCCACACGCTCACGCGTGTGCCAATTGGTTTTTTATTTTTTTTATTTTTAGAATTAGGAAAAAAAAAAGGTAGTTATTTTCCATAAAAGTAGGATCCATTATCTGATTTTGTTTTTAAATTTAATTTTTTAATTGTGAATTTACCATATTATCCTCATTTAATTAATAATTTCAATTTTTAATGTTTGAATTAACCAAGGGCATTTTCTGGTATTTTGAATGTTTCACCATTCTCTGCCTTTTGCTTTATATATATAGATAAATAAACTATCATTTTAAATATAGTAAATTCGAATATTTAAATAGTATAGCCTCTCGGCTGTACTATTTAAGGATTCAAATATAATAAATTCGAATCCTTAAATAGTATAGCCGTTTGGCTTTAAGTTTAAAGAATAATAAATTTGATCATTCAAATAGTATAGCCGCTCGACTATTCTTCTTAAATGGTGCGAGCTTGTGACACGAGCTTGTGACAGCATTCTACGACACCTATCACAAGCAGCCCAAGACCGGTCGGGCCGCCACAGGACGCACGGTGGTGGTGCTCGGTGTGCTGTCAAGACGACAATGGGTGAGAGAAGAAGATTTGGCCGGGGAGTTGAAACTGCCCCCAAGGAAACTTCGTTCCACTCTGCAGTTTCTTGAGAGGAAAAACTGGTCGCCAGAGATCAAAGGGGAGGGACAGCTTACTCCTGTCTGCACTATGCCCAGATGTACGACGTTGTTAGGTACAGGCTGCACAGTATGAGGAAAAACTGAAAGATGAGTTGGGCAAGGCCGACAACAATGTTGAGGAATATGTGTGTCCTAACCCTCACTGTAGGAAAAGATACAGCAGTTTGGATGCGTTGTACCTGACGTCTATGGAGAACGATGGGTCCTGCTTCCACCGTGAAAGTTGTAACGGGGAACTTGTGGTTGCAAGTGACAGCCACGCAAGGCGGCCACGGGGTCAAGAATTAAAAGACAGGCTTCAGAGGATGGAGGTACAGATGAAGCCAGTAACGGAACAACTTGACAGAGTCAAAGACTTGGGTTTTCCTGAATTGGGAAGCCTCCAAGATTGGGAAGCGAGTGGAAGGCCAATGTATATAAAGAGTGTTGAAGTTGAAGTTGAATTTTGTTGGGTTGAAGGACAGGTGGAAGAGGCTCCTAGTTGTCAGATCCGCGTCAAGTCAAAGCGTGATGAGGATCCAGCAGAAGACAATGTAGACTGGGAGGAAGGTTGGGGACCAAAAGACTTGGAATGTTGAAGCTTGTTGATCCTGAATCAGGCGAAATTGGAATTTCCTATCTACTTGCCATAAACAGTTGGTACAGAATCACTCAAATGAGGAGACACTTATACTTATCAAATTGTCTGTCCGTTACAAGGAAATCTTCTAAGCCAAGAGACAGTAGTTTACAAAATTAATAACTCATGAGAGGAAATAGCTTAATTTCTAGGCTAAATTTCACCTTTCCAGTTAACTATGCCAATCATGTAGGACCTCCTGGGAATTTTTAAGATAAAAATGATGCCAGGCGTGCATCTGTGCAGTGTGGAAGCCCAGTTCGAGCTCCCACAGCCCTACAGCAGGTAGCTGCCTGCAATCAAAATCACACAAGCAAAACAAAAAAAAAAGTCATGAACAAATCTATGTTGCAAAATCCTACCACAAATTGGCCATTTAGAAGAAACATGTCTACTTACCACTTGAGCAGCAAATGGCAGCATTTTCTCTGGAGGCATGTTGGAGCAAATAGCTACAATAAAATCAGAAATCCCATGAATGAAATAAAAGAACAAGAAGTAGGAATTTGCTTCAACATCTAAATTCAACTTTATAAAATCAAACAAGCATGAGACATTTTGTGACCTAAGGCCTATCCTCTGCAAACAGTCAATCCAAATGTTGATTGAACTCGAGTGCTCACATGATATACACTAAGATGATGATTAAATTTATCTAGTTAGTCAGCCATGCTTGTAGACTAGCCCAACCACAACCCCACTCTCCCACAAAGTAACATTAAACTGAACTGATCTGAGCCCTCATGTTTGGATAATGGTCAGTAGAGATTTTATGAATGAACAATGTTGCAACCTCTCAAAAGTCAAAACTAAACAAATATATACTACATTAAGAAGACACCTTTTTCTGCTTAATGATTGAAAAGGTGCCTTTCCAGGCAATAAACAACAAAAAACAAAAATTGACAAAATGATCTGTGTGTGCATGGGGTGGGGGAGAGAGAGAGAGAGCGAGAGAGAGAGAGAGAGATGAGTTGAGGGATTAAACATACCATAGAGAACTGCTCCAATAAAACTATCTCCAGCACCTGTAGTATCTTGAAGTTCTGAGGGTGGTACTTTCTCAGCTGTTCCCACAAACAGCCTCCCACAAACCGTCCCTACTCCATTGGCCCTCAATTTTGTCACGGGCTGAAAGGATTACAATGGGAAAACTTACAAATTAGTAGCTACTACAATTATTCAGTATTTTTTTCAGTGTCCAGTTCAGACTCTAAAAACAAATACAAAAAAAA